GGTGTTCCTAGGGTTGAAGGCTTCTCCTATATACTTTATATTCCTCTATTTTTTAATGATACTTTGCACTGTAGCCACTGGAACTTGAAACGAATAGATATGGCCTTATAGTCCTTTCCTGACTTGTGAGTAGCCACAATGCGCAGCGGCAGGTCCTCAGTGAACTCCTTTGTCTTAGCCATGACTGTCCACAAACCAACTGCACTGTAAACCCTTTTAAGTTTACATACAATAAAAATTAGATTTACAGTTGCCTTAAATTATCTCAGTGTTATCTTATAAATATTGATATTCCTCAACTTATAATTAGTGAGTAATACACTCAAAATTTTCAATATTCTTCAACTCATAATGTTGGACAAGCACTCAAAATTAATTCTAAACTGAAATACTGATGTCGGCCCACTACACAATTATAATCAGCTCATAATGTTAGAAAACATGAAAGAGACACCACAGTGACAATTTAACAACTTTTTTTATTCAACACAATGTGCTTTTTAAAAGGCACGAAGCAAAAGAGCTCAGTGAAAACAAAGTGCTTGTCATAAATTAAAACAAAAGGAAAAGGAAATGACTCAGAAAAACAAAATGTGTTTTAAAGTACATTAAGTCTTAATAGTTCCATATTCTGATAGTGGTCATTGCTACAGAGGGTAGATTCAGTATTTTGGGTCTCCATCTCACATTATTCAGTAAACATTATGATAAAAACTCACAAAGGATTCATGATCAAATTCAATAAGATTCTAAGTATAATCCATCCTCAACAGCAATGACAACTATTAGAATGTGGAGCCATTTAACACTGTTTAAAAACGTTTTGGCACTTACTGTACCTTGAAGGCTGCAACTCACTTTTTTAAAATAAAACATTCAAATAAAGTACTGGTTTCTACTGTGCCATACTTCAACTGGCAACATCAAGGTAGTGCATCAAGGTAGGCATTAGGCAACAGAACATTAAACATGTATAGTGCATGAATTGAACAGTCGTTTCCCACAAGATGTTCAGTACAAAAACCTGGGCTGATCAATAGTGTTAGCATTGGTTGGCATTGCTAGAGATTTCTTCTAAATCTCTAGTAATGCCATTAAGATGAGAAAATAAAACAAAATGACACAGCCTGAATTATTTATCTGAACAGTTATCTAAAAACTTAACATCAGTCAACCTAGGGAGATCACTCACAACAATTTCATCTTCGATGTCCACAGAAATGCTCTTGGGGCTGCAATGAGTTGTGTTGTCAGTGACCACAGTAAGGAGACCCACAGGAGTGTCAGCAACATCTGGCTCATCTTCTCTCTGCAAAATACAAACAATCCAATGACGAGGAGAATTCCAGTAAAAAGGTTTAAAGTCATGTATCATTAACAATGTCAACATCATTCTAACTCAGACAGCTGAAGACTCATATTGGATTCAAACACACTTACATAAAGAGATTTGCATGAAACGAGAACTGTGGATTTCTCTCTTATTTGAAGAGGAGGTCCCCAATCACTCTTTCATTGTACATACCACATTTTAGCATTATACTGAGAGAAAAACAACCTATCCATTGACTTTAACCTGAAAAGAGGCGTTAAAGTTGGTTTCCATACTATATTTCATGGTACATGTCATTGATATTGACATTTCTCTGAGAGCACTAAATACTTACATTCCAGTTCTTGAAGAACTCATAGTCATCCTCTCTTAGGTACACCGGGAGGGCACGAAGGGCCAGACTGCATCTCATGTTTACATCATGTTGTTCCTAGATTGACAACCAAAACATAATAATCATTATAGAAATATTTACCAGCACATCAAGCCAGTTCAACTTACATAATCATAAAATGATCATGAATAACCATCATTGTGCTCACAGCAAAGTTAATCTTAAACTCACATGGCGGTCATAAATCCTGAAGATCTCTCGGAGTGCCTCTGCTGTCTTGCCTGTCCGTCTCTCTGTACAGGGCAATCAGTTGAGGTGTGTATCTGTCAATCTCACAGTAGAACTGATTACGTAGCTTTACATTTGTAATAATGGAGTTCTGTGAGCTCAGCAAACACCTGCAGACACACAAACACATCAATGTATATAGATTAATGTAGGTTTTACAACTTGTGTTTTAAGAGGAAAACATAATGCATCCATTGCAGCAAAGCTAGCAGTTTTTCCCTGTGACTGTGCTGCTGTTGATTATATGAAGTTATACTGAGGTGTTTCTATTATTTTGACTGTCTGCACGGTACAGGGCTAACGGACAGCAGCTCCTAACGGTGCAATTCAAACTTCAACGTGTTAGCCGCTAACACATACTAACTTCAATTAACGTTAGCGTTTCTGTTAAAGGGACATTGTGTAGTGTTTTATTAGTGTTAGCTAAAATCAATGTCTTCATTCATAAATGTGTCCTCATTGGTGTAAAATTACCTCTGCCAAGGATCTGACTTCTCCTCATAAGTGAAGAATTTATTATCTGTATATACATTGGACGGGCAGGTCCATGAAGGCTTCCATGTCGTACCGCCATTTTGAAAAACTATAATCACCGAGAGGGACATAAAACACGAGCCGACCTGTCTCACTAATCCACAACGCGTTCTCGTTCAGAGCCAGCGTCACGTGACTGAAACCAGCTATAACAGAGAAGGAGATCAGTGAGAGGCTTTCTCTTCAACAGGTAGGCTTCTTGGTACATAACTGTTGTACTGACTGTTTGGGTTTACAGTGTGCAGAGAGCTGCTGTTTTTCACCTGTTGAGTTGATTAAAACAGCTGTTCCCAATGAATCAGGGTCATTAGGATGCTTTAGAACAGCTTGGACTATTGGAATATAATGGTAGAGAACTTTCCCACTGTGACAGTTTGCAACGGGTATGAATAATTTTGGACATGTCACTTTTTGTTCAAATGTAAATAAAAGCTGAGAAATAATGTTTTCCACAATGATGCCTCTTGTACATCGTCTTATTGTCTTCTGGGAGAAGCCTGTTTCAATTTTGGTACTTTAAGTCAAAATTTGCCAGGGGTATGAATACTTTCAGGCTTGACTGTATAAATATGTATATATATACACTATATATATGCTATATATACATATATAGCATATATATACACACTATATATATATATATACATATATAAGGTATATATTATATATTATATATATTATAATATAGTATATATTTATATAAATGTGTTATTTGAGTGTATTTGAATGTCCCTTCTGACTAAAAGTGCTGTATTACATAAACTGTTTGTTCAATCTGAGCTGAAGGTTTCTGTTCTAGCAGAGAATAGACCTCCTACAGGTTCCTTAAACGCCTCACAGCCCACCACAGTGTGTGTGTGTGTGTGTGTGTGTGTGTGTGTGAGAGAGAGAGAGAAAGAGTGTGTGTAGGTGTGTGTAGGTGTGTGTGAGTGTGTGATGCAGTGATGCTACAGATTGAACTGTTTGGTATTTTTTGGCTCTTTGCCTCGATGCAGTTAGAAATGTGCTGTGTGAGCAGGAAGCTGGACTGCTGCAGTGTGTGTGTGTGTGTTACAGTGTGTGTGTGTGTGTGTGTGTGTGTGTGTGTTACAGTGTGTGTGTGTGTGTGTGTGTGTGTTACAGTGTGTGTTACAGTGTGTGTGTGTGTGTGTTACAGTGTGTGTGTTACAGTGTGTGTGTTACAGTGTGTGTGTGTTACAGTGTGTGTGTGTGTGTGTGTGTGTGTGTGTGTGTGTGTGTGTGTGTGTGTGTGTGTGTGTTACAGTGTGTGTGTGTGTCTGATGCCTTCAAGGACCGTCGTACCGGTGGCTGAGTTCATGTCATTAAATGCTGCAGAGAAACATTCCAACCAGCGACTGTTTCACTGGTTTCTTCTGTTTATATTCAAGCTAACGAAGGCTTCATGTGAAGAACTGACGGTGTGTTCAAGTCCACTCAATAAACTATGGAATATATGGTGAATATGTGATGATACACAACGAGGAGTTGTGATGTATTTGAGTCCAGTGTTTTCTTTATGAAGCTCTGTGCTGCATTCAGGAGCAACAACCGCCGTAAACGGCAGACACGTCTTTCTTTGAACAAGCGGAGCTCTGAGCTGTTTCATTAAATTGTCACAGACACTATGTATTGATCGATGGTATTGATCCTCTCTGCAGCCTTCAGTACATTTGGCTGCGTGTGGTGAAAACCAGCAGAGGTCAGATCGATGTGCTTTAGATTGAAACTCACACAGCAACAAGTTACACTGGCTAAAATTATTAATACAAGAAGATCATAACTTCTGGGAACAGTTAGAAACCCTGAGAGCTCCGACTGTAACGTGACAAAGATTAATGATGCTAACAGTACAAAGCTAACGGTAGCTTAGCCAAAAGCGATCCAGCAGGGGCATCCAGCTAGCTAACTGTAGCTAAGCTAAGGTGGGGTTGTCTGGCATTGGTTGCTGTTGTTGAAGGTTTCCTGTTGATGCATTAATGTGTTATATAATCTATAATCATCATTTATTTGTTGCTTATATTGAAAGCAACATGTAGCAGGAAGTAGGCCTGAAACAGTACTGGTGACTCAAACAGCTTCACTTCAGGGAGAACTGAATGTTTCCATTTGAGCACATTAAGGACGGTGATAAGAAGCACAGGTCACATCCAGCTGCAGACCAAACATCTGAATCAGCTGCTTGAGTTTGGTCTCAACTGGCAGTTCGGTCCTCTCAGCTTTTAAAAGGATTCGGTTATTTGATCTCGTCTCTGACTCGTAAACACACTCTGAGTGCTCGCTGGGAGAAAACCAGAGGTGAATAAATGAATAGTGAGCAGCACTCCACATCAAAGCACCGGCACAGAGCGGACACACCATTCAAATAATGGAGTCTCTCAGTCGCCGACTCATTATAAACCATTTGTTTCAGTTCGTCTCAGCTTCTGAAACCGTCTCCAAAGTCCAATCAGACAGAAATCAGAGCGCCGCAACAGGGAGCCAATAGCCCTGTGTCTGTACAGTGTTAATAAAGTTGTGTGTCTGTACAGTGTTAATAAAGTTGTGTTTGTACAGTGTTAATAAAGTTGTGTTTGTACAGTGTTAATAAAGTTGTGTTTGTACAGTGTTAATAAAGTTGTGTTTGTACAGTGTTAATAAAGTTGTGTGTTTGTACAGTGATAATAAAGTTGTGTGTCTGTACAGTGTTAATAAAGTTGTGTGTTTGTACAGTGTTAATAAAGTTGTGTTTGTACAGTGTTAATAAAGTTGTGTGTTTGTACAGTGTTAATAAAGTTGTGTTTGTACAGTAGTGTTAAATAAAGTTGTGTTTGTACAGTGTTAATAAAGTTGTGTTTGTACAGTGTTAATAAAGTTGTGTGTTTGTACAGTGTTAATAAAGTTGTGTGTTTGTACAGTGTTAATAAAGTTGTGTGTCTGTACAGTGTTAATAAAGTTGTGTGTTTGTACAGTGTTAATAAAGTTGTGTTTGTACAGTGTTAATAAAGTTGTGTTTGTACAGTGTTAATAAAGTTGTGTTTGTACAGTGTTAATAAAGTTGTGTTTGTACAGTGATAATAAAGTTGTGTTTGTACAGTGTTAATAAAGTTGTGTGTTTGTACAGTGTTAATAAAGTTGTGTGTTTGTACAGTAATAATAAAGTTGTGTTTGTACAGTGTTAATAAAGTTGTGTTTGTACAGTGTTAATAAAGTTGTGTTTGTACAGTGTTAATAAAGTTGTGTGTTTGTACAGTGTTAATAAAGTTGTGTTTGTACAGTGTTAATAAAGTTGTGTTTGTACAGTGTTAATAAAGTTGTGTTTGTACAGTGTTAATAAAGTTGTGTGTTTGTACAGTGATAATAAAGTTGTGTGTTTGTACAGTGTTAATAAAGTTGTGTGTTTGTACAGTGATAATAAAGTTGTGTGTTTGTACAGTGTTAATAAAGTTGTGTTTGTACAATGATAATAAAGTTAATCTGAGATATTGGATATAATCAGACACACGATGACATCAGATTTTATACAGTAATAATAATCAATCAGCCTCACTGCACTTCAGTCCTGTTGCCATAGAAACAGCTTAAAACTGTCCTCTTCCTTTATGGAGTTACAATCACACACACACAAAACGTGTTTTACTCACGCCCAACGATTCACAAACAAACTCAGTGTGGTCTGCAAATCCAAAACATCATTCACAAAACTAATGCATCTGGTTCTGGAAATAAGAACCGTACCTATCAAACACACACAAATACAGTATGTTTGACACATACAGAGAAACATATTTCTTCAATTACAAAAATATATATCCTCCAAGTACAAACTAAAATCTTTGTAGTACGAAAAACTGTCACGGGACTTTTGGCATGAATTTTCCACCTTCAGATCCACACACAAATGCCAGTTAACTTTCATCTCCTGTAATTCGCACTCCACAACAGCAGGTGGCGCTGTTGAGTTTTAAGGTCGCCAGGACGACCCCCCCCCCCATCTTTATTTAAGGCCGCCAACAGGAGATACTAAAAAGACAGATAAAACTTAGCACTGATAATAAAAATATCCTCAAAGTAAGTCGAAATTATGAGATAAAAAGTCACCTCAGTGACAGTTGGCAATATATTCACAGATTCACACTTCCTGCATCAATAACTCATAATCGGGACATTTTTAAAACACAGCCGATGCGAATGTGCGAATACTTTTTATCTCATAATTACCGAGCGCTTCAGAAAGTTATTGATTAATATGTTTCTCTGTATGTGTCAAACATACTGTATTTGTGTGTGTTTGATAGGTACGGTTCTTATTTCCAGAACCAGATGCATTAGTTTGTGGATGATGTTTTGGATTTGCAGACCACACTGAGTTTGTTTGTGAATCGTTGGGCGTGAGTAAAACACGTTGTTGTGTGTGTGTGATTGTAACTCCATACTCCTCCTCCACCTGTCCGTTGATTAAACCTTCGTGCCGGATCCACTCCAGCTGACATTAGCATCCGTTAGCAAACACCAGTCGATGCTAATTATATAATGCTAATGAGGACAGAGAGCAGCATTAACACTGAGTGCTAACAGGCCTGATGCTAATGTGAGTGTTTACGCCGTTCATATAACAGACTGAATAATTAACATCTATTAACTCTGAACTCAAACAGCAGCTGCTTCAAACTCTTTCACACATCGGAAATATTTTACTTTATTCAATATTAAATAAGATTTGAGCCATTTTAAATAATTGTGAACATCCATTTTGACTTAAAGGTAAATGGACCTGTACTACGTGCCACATTCACCCTTTCACACACATTCACTCAGTGATGGCAAAGTCCATCAAACAGAAACTAACATTCATACACACTCACACACTGATGTACGGCATCAGGAGCAATTTGGGGTTCAGTATCTTGCTCAAGGATACTTTGACATGTGGCACCAGGAGCCGGGGATCGAACCCACAACCTTCCAATTAAGGAACGACCCGCTCTGCCTCTGAGCCACAGCCGCCCGGGTGACGTAAGGGGTTTGAGCTGTAAACTGAAAATTCGACATCAATGCTGCTCTTAATATTCACATTGTTACCAAATGTATCTACATAACAGCTGCTAGCTTAGCTTAAACACAGCTGGTAGCTTAGCTTCAACACAGCCGCTAGCTTAGCTTTAACATAGCTGCTAGCTCAGCTACAAACAGGTAGCACACATAAACCTTTACAGACAGCGTGAATGTGCTTCTAGTGACTAAAAGCTTCAGCACACACTGAGAGTCTGACAGCAGCTGGTTAGCTCTGTTAGCTCTGTTAGCTCTGTTAGCTGTGTTAGCTCTGTTAGCTGTGTTAGCTCTGTTAGCTCTGTTAGCTCTGTTAGCTGTGTTAGCTCTGTTAGCTTTGTTAGCTGTGTTAGCTCTGTTAGCTGTGTTAGCTCTGTTAGCTCTGTTAGCTTTGACTACCAGCTGGCTGTTGCTTCCACAGTCTGTCAGTCACTGTGGTCACTGTTAAGGCCCCGCCCCCTACAGTCGCTGTGGAGGCCCCCTACAGTGTTGAGGCCCCCCCCCGTCGCTGTGGAGGCCCCGCCCCCTACAGTCGCTGTTGAGGCCCCGCCCCCTACAGGCGCTGTTGAGCCCCCCCTACAGTCGCTGTGGAGGCCCCGCCCCCTACAGGCGCTGTTGAGGCCCCGCCCCCTACAGTCACTCTGCTGCTGTATCAATATATCTTCTTCTTCTTCTTCTTCTTCTTCTGTGGTGTCATTAAAAACTCCTCAGTGAGCCACCGGCTGACAAGAGCAGAAATGAATTCATCATAAAACACAATTTCCCATCAGCCTCGCTGCCTGTTGCTCTCCAGGAGGTCACAGAGGTCGGAGGAGGTGCTGAAGGGTGGAGGTTGAGTGGGCTGTCGTCATGGCAACAGCCAATAAAATGACATCAGTGCGTACGAACGGTTCAGTCTGACACGAAGCACCTGAAGGTCTGATGGTGCTGCTCCTCCTCTTCCTCCTCCTCCTGTTTGACCCCCATAGATCACACACACACACACACACATGCACACATGCACACACACACACACACACACACACACACACACTGATATGATGACATTAACGGCTGTGATCGATCATCAATAACTGTATTATATAACATGGACTGATGATGTCACTAACAGTCAGGCTGTGACCTTTGACCCGACTGCAGTGTGGGTGGGAATACAGATGTATAAATTTAACAACATTCGAGGAGTGTTGGATAAATAACGGAGAATCAAAGTAATCAGCCGTCAGAGGGAAGTAGCAACCTAACGTTATCCAACAGCCCAATCAGACAATATTGTTTATTTTTATATAGCAGTAATGTTAGCTTTGACTTTGGACTCTGTGTTGGACTCTGTGTTGTGGACTCTGTGTTGGACTCTGTGTTGTGGACTCTGTGTTGGACTCTGTGTTGTGGACTCTGTGTTGGACTCTGTGTTGGACTCTGTGTTGTGGACTCTGTGTTGTGGACTCTGTGTTGGACTCTGTGTTGGACTCTGTGTTGTGGACTCTGTGTTGGACTCTGTGTTGTGGACTCTGTGTTGTGGACTCTGTGTTGGACTCTGTGTTGGACTCTGTGTTGTGGACTCTGTGTTGGACTCTGTGTTGTGGACTCTGTGTTGGACTCTGTGTGGACTCTGTGTTGGACTCTGTGTTGTGGACTCTGTGTTGGACTCTGTGTTGTGGACTCTGTGTTGTGGACTCTGTGTTGGACTCTGTGTTGGACTCTGTGTTGTGGACTCTTTTGGTGTTGTGGACTCTGTGTTGGACTCTGTGTTGTGGACTCTGTGTTGTGGACTCTGTGTTGGACTCTGTGTTGTGGACTCTGTGTTGTGGACTCTGTGTTGTGGACTCTGTGTTGGACTCTGTGTTGTGGACTCTGTGTTGGACTCTGTGTTGGACTCTGTGTTGTGGACTCTGTGTTTGGACTCTGTGTTGGACTCTGTGTTGTGGACTCTGTGTTGTGGACTCTGTGTTGGACTCTGTGTTGGACTCTGTGTTGTGGACTCTGTGTTGGACTCTGTGTTGTGGACTCTGTGTTGTGGACTCTGTGTTGTGGACTCTGTGTTGGACTCTGTGTTGTGGACTCTGTGTTGTGGACTCTGTGTTGGACTCTGTGTTGTGGACTCTGTGTTGTGGACTCTGTGTTGGACTCTGTGTTGTGGACTCTGTGTTGTGGACTCTGTGTTGTGGACTCTGTGTTGGACTCTGTGTGTCTGTGTGGACTCTGTGTTGGACTCTGTGTTGTGGACTCTGTGTTGGACTCTGTGTTGTGGACTCTGTGTTGGACTCTGTGTTGGACTCTGTGTTGGACTCTGTGTTGTGGACTCTGTGTTGTGGACTCTGTGTTGGACTCTGTGTTGGACTCTGTGTTGTGGACTCTGTGTTGTGGACTCTGTGTTGGACTCTGTGTTGTGGACTCTGTGTTGGACTCTGTGTTGTGGACTCTGTGTTGTGGACTCTGTGTTGTGGACTCTGTGTTTGGACTCTGTGTTTGGACTCTGTGTTGTGGACTCTGTGTTGTGGTGGGTGTTTGTAGACGTTAACAGACTCCATTTATAAGCTAATGTTAGCTAGTGTTGCCCACTGTTGGCACTCGGGAGCATAAAGGTCACAACCTTTGACCCTCAACCTACATAGAGACACATAGAGATCAGTCTCAGAGAGGAAGAGGAGAACTACTGCTTTATCTTTAAGGAGCTCATTATGAGTTTAATATGTTGTGTAAATATATAATATATTTATGTTTCCAGCAGGAGGAATGTGATTACAGAGGAATGTGGCACAACATCATATTACAGAAGAAGAGAGGCCAACAATAAGTGACCTCTGACCCCTGGATGTTTATATGGTCAGCATGTTGGCCTCTAGCACCACTGTCAGGAATCTTGGAGTTATCTTTGATCAGGATTTGTCATTTAACTCCCACATAAAGCAGACCTCTAGGACTGCCTTCTTTCATTTACGTAATATTAGAAAAATTAGACACATCCTATCACAGACAGATGCAGAAAAACTAATCCATGCATTTGTTACTTCAAGGCTGGATTACTGCAACTCTTTATTATCAGGTTGCCCCAATAAGTCCATTAAAACGCTCCAATTAATTCAGAACGCTGCAGCACGAGTACTGACAGGATCTAGAAAAAGAGATCACATCTCTCCTGTACTAGCTTCTCTGCATTGGCTCCCTATAAAATGTAGAATTGAATTTAAAATCCTCCTCCTCACCTATAAAGCTCTTCATGGTCAGGCCCCTTCATATCTTAAAGAGCTCATAGTACCCTATTACCCCACTAGAACACTATGTTCTCTGAATGCTGGGCTACTTGTGGTTCCTATAGTCTCTAAAAGTAGAACAGGAGCCAGAGCCTTCAGTTACCAAGCTCCTCTCCTGTGGAACCAGCTTCCAGTTGTGGTTCGGGAGGCAGACACCCTCACCACATTCAAGAGTAGGCTTAAGACATTCCTCTTTGATAAAGCTTATAGTTAGGGCTGGATCAGGTGAGTCCTGAACCATCCCTTAGTTATGCTGCTATAGGACTAGACTATCGGGGGATTTCCCATGGTGCACTGAGCTCCTCTCTTCCTCTCTCTTTCTGCACTCATTCATGTTCCATTAATGCATGTTACTAGCTTCACTTCTTCGCCGGAGTTCTTGTGCTTTCTCGTCTCGCAGGTTCTTATCGATCCTGGTGGAGCCTCCTGCCATGGTCCTGCTAGATCGCCATTGCCAATACTGTTGTTGCTGTGCACCTGTCTGTCTGTCTGTCTGTCTGTCTGTCTGTCTGTCTGTTTTCTCGCGCTCTCTCTCTCTCTCTCTCTCTCTCTCACCCCAACTGGTCGAGACAGACGACCACCCACCTAGAGCCGAAGGATCTGTCCTAGGTTTCTGCCTTTTAACAGGCAGTGTTTCCTTGCCCTTGTCTCCAAGGTCTTGCTCATGGTGGTACTGTTGGGTCTCTGTAAATAATGTTATAAAGAGTTCGGTCTAGACCTGCTCTATTGGAAAAGTGTCCTGAGATAACTTCTGTTATGAATTGGCGCTATACAAATAAAATTGAATTGAAAAATTGAATGTTGGATATTAAAGAGAGGAGGAGGAGGAGAGAGGAGGACAGTCTGTATCTTTAATAAATACATAAACAAGTAGCTTTCTCTAAATGAAGTTTCATGTTTTATTCTTTCTGCTTCAGAAACACAGAAACATCAACAGGTTGAACAGGTTGAACAGGTTGAACTGGATGAACAGGTTGAACTGGTTGAAGTGGGAGATTAAATAAGAGTCCACTGCTCTTAATGAATAGAAACATCACATCCAGTTATATTGTACCTCTAACGTCCATCCGTGTGTTAATCTTTATTATTCTGATCATAGATTTTCTCCCTGCTGCTGTTTCTCTGCTGTTGGGCAACATCAGTCTATAAATATCAGGATGAATGGAAAAGAGAAGTAAGAGGAGTGAGTCGTCCGTCTGACTCTTCCTCTCTTCCTCTCTTCCTCTCTTCCTCTGTCTGTCTGTCTGTCTGTCTGTCTGCAGGAGAAACATCAACATGCTGTCGCTCTTTCTTCGCGCCTTCACCTCCTTCTGTTTCCTCTCAGGTGAGTCTGATCCTGAACCCCTCGCTGTCCGACTGCAGACGACTCACTGATGAACATGTGGTGTTTCTGTTGGCTGCTGGTTGTGTGTTTACTGACCAATCAATCAATGGATTAATGGATCAATAATCAGTAGATGAGAACAATCATTAGCTGCAGATAGAAAATGAAACGTAAAGGTATGTTTTCATTCAGCAGTGGGAGCGACCTTCGTCCTCGTCTTTGCTATCATTTATTCACAGAAATGTTCTGTATTAATATTAATATAATAATAATATTGATATTAATATAATAATAATATAAAACAATAATAATAATAATATTAATATTCAGTGATTCCTGAGGTTCGGCTTATCACACAGTTTATTGAACGGTTTACTTTTCTTCACAGAAATGAAGCAAACACTGAGATATCGGCCTAATCTGTATATTCTTTTTTACAAACCTTAAAATCAAGACGACCCCACAGTGAAGCTGCAGCGACCCATAGTGGGGCCCCGACCCTCAGGTTGCATTAGAATGAGTCTGTATGGAGTTATTATTATTTTAGAGTTAAACTGAACGTGAATTTAATTGTTTTGAATTCAAAATGTTCAAATTGAATATTGTACACAAACTTTGAAATAGTTTTTAACTTTTGTTAATATTATTTTAACGTGAACCCTCCACATATAATAATGTGCATCTTCATCTCTGGGTATTTAGGCCACGGCTGTAATCTTATTGCTGACTGAATTTTAATAAACTGAAATAAAATGACTCCATACTGTAAGTGAGTATTTCTATGAGGTGGTTTTAGTACTTTTACCTGTACTGGTTCCAGTAAAGCATTAACTGCAGACTTAGGGTTGTTGGAAGGTGTAGGTGAGCTGATGTGGCAGGTAATTAACGGCTTAATGTGATTGGCTGAGACACCTGACAAACAAGGCGAACATATCACAAACACTTCCTGTTTGTAGACCTTAATATCTCCCCAACAGGAGCTTTATTGTGAAAGTCTGAAGAAGCCCAGTGAGTCTGCAGAGAGCTGAACTTGGTATCAGAGATCTTTTTTTATTGTTTGTGTCAGCGCCAGCCCGTGTGTCAGCCGTCACCACGGAGACGGTGGTGGGTGTGGCCGGTAGGATTGTGACGCTGCCGTGTCTATCAGAGGCCGTCAGTCAGAAAGGAGTGGAGGTGTGCTGGGGGAGAGGAGAGCCGTCACTGTTCACTTGCCACAACACTGTGATCAATGGCGCTGGAGAGCAGATCACATACAGGAAGTCCTACAGGTACGAGGCTACAGGAGGTCCAATGGGTATGAGGGTACAGGAGGTTATAAAGGTACGAGGCTACAGGAGGTCCAATGGGGAGGAGGGTACAGGAAGCTATAAAGGTACGAGGGTACAGGAGGCCCAATGGTTACGAGTGTACAGGAGGTTATAAAGATACGAGGGTACAGGAGGTTATAAAGGTACGAGGGTACAGGAGGTTATAAAGGTACGAGGGTACAGGAGGTTATAAAGGTACGAGGGTACAGGAGGTTATAAAGGTACGAGGGTACAGGAGGTCCAATGGGTAAGGAGGGTACAGGATGGGTACGAGGGTACAGGAGGTTATAAAGGTAGGAGGGTACAGGAGGTTATAAGGTACGAGGGTACAGGAGGTTATAAAGGTACGAGGGTACAGGAGGTCCAATGGGTACGAGGGTACAGGATGGGTACGAGGGTACAGGAGGTTATAAAGGTAGGAGGGGACAGGAGGTTATAAAGGTACGAGGGTACAGGAGGTCCAATAGGGTACAAGGGTACAGGAGGTTATAAAGGTATGAGGGTACAGGAGGTCCAATGGGTACAAGGGTACAGGAGGTTATAAAGGGGGGAAGGGGTACAAGGGTACAGGAGGTTATAAAGGTACGAGGGTACAGGAGGTTATAAGGTACGAGGGTACAGGAGGTTATAAAGGTACGAGGGTACAGGAGGTCCAATGGGTACGAGGGTACAGGATGGGTACGAGGGTACAGGAGGTTATAAAGGTAGGAGGGTACAGGAGGTTATAAAGGTAGGAGGGTACAGGAGGTTATAAGGTACGAGGGTACAGGAGGTTATAAGGTACGAGGGTACAGGAGGTTATAAGGTACAAGGGTACAGGAGGTTATAAAGGTACGAGGGTACAGGAGGTCCAATGGGTACGAGGGTACAGGATGGGTACGAGGGTACAGGAGGTTATAAAGGTAGGAGGGTACAGGAGGTTATAAAGGTAGGAGGGTACAGGAGGTTATAAGGTACGAGGGTACAGGAGGTTATAAGGTACGAGGGTACAGGAGGTCCAATGGGTACGAGGGTACAGCGGGTCATTCGTACATACAGACGTTAGAATGAAACATAAGGGTACAGGAGGTTATAAAGGTAGGAGGGTACAGGAGGTTATAAAGGTAGGAGGGTACAGGAGGTTATAAGGTACGAGGGTACAGGAGGTTATAAAGGTACGAGGGTACAGAAGGTTATAAAGGTATGAGGGTACGGGAGGTTATAAAGGTACGAGGCAACAGGAGGTTATAAGGTACGAGGGTACATGAGGTCCAATGGGTACGAGGGTACGGGAGGTTATAAGGTACGAGGGTACAGGAGGTTATAAAGGTACGAGGGTACAGGCGGTTATAAAGGTACGAGGGTACAGGAGGTTATAAGGTATGAGGGTACAGGAGGTTATAAAGGTATGAGGGTACAGGAGGTTATAAGGTACGAGGGTACAGGAGGTCCAATGGGTACGAGGGTACAGGAGGTTATAAAGGTATGAGGGTACAGGAGGTTATAAGGTACGAGGGTACAGGAGGTTATAAAGGTACGAGTGTACAGGAGGTTATAAAGGTACGAGGGTACAGGAGGTCCAATGGGTACGAAGGTACAGGATGGGTACGAGGGTACAGGAGGTTATAAAGGTAGGAGGGTACAGGAGGTTATAAAGGTAGGAGGGTACAGGAGATTATAAGGTACGAGGGTACAGGAGGTTATAAGGTACAAGGGTACAGAAGGTCCAATGGGTACGAGGGTACAGGAGGTTATAAAGGTATGAGGGTACAGGAGGTCGAACCGGTACGAGGGTACAGGAGGTTATAAAGGTACAAGGGTACAGCGGGTAGTTCGTACATACAGACGTTAGAATGAAACATAAGGGTACAGGAGGTTATAAAGGTAGGAGGGTACAGGAGGTTATAAAGGTAGGAGGGTACAGGAGGTTATAAGGTACGAGGGTACAGGAGGTTATAAAGGTACGAGGGTACAGGAGGTTATAAAGGTATGAGGGTATGGGAGGTTATAAAGGTACGAGGCAACAGGAGGTTATAAGGTACGAGGGTACAGGAGGTCCAATGGGTACGAGGGTACTGGAGGTTATAAGGTACGAGGGTACAGGAGGTTATAAAGGTACGAGGGTACAGGCGGTTATAAAGGTACGAGGGTACAGGAGGTTATGAGGTATGAGGGTACAGGAGGTTATAAAGGTATGAGGGTACAGGAGGTTATAAGGTACGAGGGTACAGGAGGTCCAATGGGTACGAGGGTAAAGGAGGTTATAAAGGTATGAGGGTACAGGAGGTTATAAGGTACGAGGGTACAGGAGGTCTAATGAGTACGAGGGTACAGGACGGGTACGAGGGTACAGGAGGTTATAAAGGTAGGAGGGTACAGGAGGTTATAAAGGTGGGTAAGGTAGGAGGGTACAGGAGGTTATAAAGGTATGAGGGTACAGGAGGTCATAAGTTACGAGGGTACAGGAGGTCCAATGGGAGGGTACAGGAGGTTATAAAGGTATGAGGGTACAGGAGGTTATAAGGTACGAGGGTACAGGAGGTCTAATGAGTACAAGGGTCGGCGGGTACGAGGGTACAGGAGGTTATAAAGGTAGGAGGGTACTGGAGGTTATAAAGGTAGGAGGGTACAGGAGGTTATAAGGTACGAGGGTACAGGAGGTTATAAAGGTATGAGGGTACAGGAGGTCCAATGGGTACAAGGGTACAGGAGGTTATAAAGGTACGAGGGTACAGGAGGTTATAAAGGTACAAGGGTACCGGAGGTTATAAGGTACGAGGGTACAGGAGGTCCAATGGGTACGAGGGTACAGGAGGTTATAAAGGTAGGAGGGTACAGGAGGTTATAAGGTACGAGGGTACAGGAGGTCCAATGGGTACGAGGGTACAGGAGGTTATAAAGGTACAAGGGGTACAGCGGGTCGTTCATAAATACAGACGTTAAAATGAAACATAAAACATAAAAGTTTTGAGGTTAAATGAATATAAATGTACTGAAGGTCTCACTGATGGTCTCCTCTGCAGGTACTCAGTATCTTCCTCGTCCTCTCTGTCCATCCTGAGCTCTCGACCGTCAGACTCTGGTTTCTATCACTGTAGAGTTCAGGTTCCCGGTCTGTTCAATGACCAAACATCCACCGTTCACCTCATCATCATCAACCGTACGTTGAGAAACTTCCATCCATCACTCTGAGTCTGTGCTGATGGAGCAGAACACCGGTTTTACTTTTCTCCTGTCTGTCCTCGTGCAGCTCGCTCGGTGGTCTCTGACGGCAGGGAGGCTGAGAACCTGAACGCACCACAGACTACAACCGCTACAGAGTACAGGACGGGCCGTCAGGGTGAGACGAGTAGTTATTTTTTTATTAATCAACGATTAAATCAATTATTACACATTACACAAACATTACACTAGAAGCTGTCAAGCTAAGAACTAAACTGCCGCAGGAATTATTAGCTACAGTTAGCTATCTGGATGACACTGCCTCACATCACTCTTGGCTAGTAGAAAGCAACCGTTAGCTTTGTACTGCTACATCATTTATTGTTGGCTAACATCATATCAGAATACATGAGTTAGTGTTGGGGATCACCGTAGCTGCGGAAGCTAACGTTAGCTAGCTAACATTTACACTTAGATAGTATTTTGCTAGCGATAACGTTAGCGAGCAAGCTAATGTTAGCCAGCCACACTGAAGGAAGTTATAGATAAAGTTTATTTTAGTTTCGTCTTGTTGCAGGTTTCATCAGACGAGACGTGACAGAGCAGACAGGAAGTGATGTCACAGGAGACAACACCACAGGACCAATGGTGGCGCAGGTTCAGGTAACAGTGACACCTGTTACAGCTTTATTATTAACGACACACAAACACTGCTAATGCTAATAGTTGTGGTTACCATGGCAACACAGGCTAACATCTCTTTATTTATTTGTTTATTTGTTTGACAGTCGTCTGTAAACAAACAGCAACAGGTAAACAGTCTGCAGATCTTCATCGGAAACACACTGAGAGTCTCCTTCATCATCTTCATACCTGCACTGCTGCTGACTGCTGCTCACAGTCAGTACACACACACTGTAACACACTGTAACACACTGTAACACACACACTGTAACACACTGTAACACACACTGTAACACACACACACACTGTAACACACACACACTGTAACACACTGTAACACACTGTAACACACACACTGTAACACACTGTAACACACACTGTAACACACTGTAACACACACTGTAACACACACACACTGTAACACACTGTAACACACTGTAACACACACTGTAACACACTGTAACACACACAGTAACACACTGTAACACACACTGTAACACACACACACTGTAACACACTGTAACACACACTGTAACACACACTGTAACACACTGTACACACACTGTAACACACACTGTAACACACACACTGTAACACACTGTAACACACACACACTGTAACACACACTGTAACACACACACTGTAACACACACACACTGTAACACACACTGTAACACACACTGTAACACACACTGTAACACACTGTAACACACACACACTGTAACACACTGTAACACACACTGTAACACACACACTGTAACACACACACACTGTAACACACTGTAACACACACACACACACACACACACACACACACACACACACACACACTGTAACACACACTGTCTATTGATTAACAATTCATTGATTATCAGCTCGTTCCTGATTAGTTGATTAGTGTTTGTTTGTAATGTTTAATAAAATAATATCAGGTGTTTGTCTGTGTGTGCAGGAGTGTGGAGGTCCAATCAGAGACCAGAGACTGAGAGTGACAGGAGGCTGAACCAATCAGAGGAGGAGGACAGCTCTGTGTAGGATCAATGTTCTGCTGTCAAGCCTACTTTCAGTTTTATTTTTTATTTCTCTGAGTCATATTTTTTTATAAAAAACTAATAAAATGAAATGTTGAATATTAAAGCAGTTGGTTATTATATATATATATATATATATATATATATATATATATATAATTATAGATATTTTATTATAGATATATTATTATTATAGATATTTTATTATAGATATTTTATTATAGATATATTATTATATAAATATTATTATCAGTTCCTAAAACCTTCACATTGTCTCATGAGCCTGCAGCGCCCTCTGGTGGGCTCATTCATTAACAACAGTCTGAGTGCTGCTGCTGGTTCCTGAGGATGTGTGACAGTGTTCACCTGTTCACCTGTTCACCTTCATCTCTGTTGTTTGGATCTTTGTAAGTTATTAAATGTTAATTTATAGTTTTATAACTCTAGAATCTATAACAGTGTATAGACTCTAGAGCTTTGTTCTATAAGGAGCTGATTCAATCAATAATCTATAATCAATAAACTGTATAAACTCTAGAGCTATGTTCTATATGGAGTCAGAGAATGTCGGAAAATGAAGAAAGGAAAAGAGAGTGACAAGGGACACACAACCTCACTCACACACACACTCACACTCTACACACACACACACACACACACACACACACACACACACACACACACATTATATACAGAGAGGTAATATAAATATATAAGAGGTAAAAATATTGTGGGTCAGATTATATTGCACATTATAGATCAATGTCACAGTTTGATCTGATCGATAGATTACTCTATTGATATTGTCTGCTGTCTGTGCTGTTTCAGATCTAAATGTTGTGGGTTCGATCCCCGTTTAGGGCAGGACTCAGATTGTAAATATACTTTATGTTTGATAAATTAAATACTAATATTTTAAAAAAAGATATATAATAATCAATATGATCAATAAATCAATAAAGACTTCTTAGAGAGCCTTTATGTCGGCTGTGATAACTCATACAGTTTGAATGTGTTTATTAATGTTTCATTCTCCCTGCAGTAGTAAAGATATCTTTATTTCTGTCTTTGTATCACATTGATTTGTTTGTTTGTTGTCTATTGTTTGTGTGTTACACATACATCCATATCTGATACGTCTCCTTAGTAAAGGATAATACAGCATTAATACAAATATAGATTATGTGTTTGACACTCAAACGTCAGTAGTTTTCTCCCCTGAGTAGTGTCTGTAAGGCAGTATGTATGTAGCCTGAGAGGCAGAACCCAGGGCAATAGACCAGCCCAGTGCCGGCCGTGGCATAGGCAGTAAAGGCAAATGCTAAGGGCGGTGTCCATCTAGGGGGCGCCACGATGGGGGAAGGAAAAAAAACAAAACGTTCAATATTTTTATACTAAAACTAGTTGGTGCTATTATTTCTTAGTATGAAAAAAGCCCACATTAATTTAACTGCATAGCAAAGAATATTAAATAATAATAAGACTTTATTATAGATATATAATAACCTGCTCTCTGAGAGATGGTCGAGTTTTCTGACGTCACCCCAGAAACCGTTAACAATGTCAAAACCACCAAAACTTTCCGGTGCCCAGAGAAGGAAAGAAAGAAAAGAAGAGGAAAAAAAACGCGACAGAGGTAGAGTAAAGATAATGTGATGAAATGATTTGTCTGTTGCAGATCAATAAATAGCATTAGCTCGTTTTAACGTCAGTTCATGTTATGGAGGGGCCTATAATATATATAA